TAGGAGAAGATCAGGTTCAAGACCATCTCTGAAGGTGAACAAGTCCATGGAACCAGGGGGGGTTGGAACTTGATGATCTTTAAGGTCCTTTCTAACCCTAGCCATTCTATGATTCTATGATTCTGTGACAGGTTTTTTCTGCACACTACTACCCTAACTCCAAAATTGCATTTTTGTGCTGACAGATCTAAAAATATTTCATTAAATACTGCCCAAAGCTTGTGTTATGTCAACTGACCATGCTGTCATAGCAATAAACAGACTCTGTAAGACATTTGCACCTGATTTCCCAGAGTGGTGCATGTTTCATTCTCTTACCAAGGATTTGCTTTGCTGTAATGTCATCTAGAGAGCCAAGAACATTGTATTTAAGGAATGATGCATAATAAGAAACCCAAATATAAACAAACAAGCATGACAGTGAACCATGCAATATTTTACTCTATTTTATTCCTGTGTATGCTAATTGCTATTGCTCTCTGTTTGGTACAAGGATATATAGGATGTTGCATTGAAAAGCCTACAGATGCCTTAATAATTCCCTGAGCACATTAGAACAATACAATTCAAAGGACTAAAAAGAATGAATTTGGTTTTCAAATTAACAGCCGTCTTTGCTAACATATATGCTATCTGTTTACTTCGTGCATATCAGTATTGTCAACTTTAGCCAATGTAGCCTTTTACTTTAGGGTTTTTTTTCTCTTTTTTTCTCTTTTTTTTCCTGTTCTTTTGCTTTTGCAGTGGAGTTCACAGTATTTTTGAACCATGGAAGTTTTCCCTTTCTAACAGTCAGTGCTTGATCCTTTGAGAAATACACACTGTTTGGTTCCATCTCTTCCCATGAAGCATTGTAGAAGTGTATTTTCTTACAAGGCTTTAATGTGTCAGTGTCTCACAAATCACTAGAACAATACTTTTTCTCAGGGTCTTAATCAAAACTGTTGTTAATGCCAGTAAAAGTACCACAGCAAGACATTTTGCACCAAGTGCTCTTTCTGCCCCCCTCATCACCCTACCAGCTTTAGGCTCCTTTCAGCTGCTGCCAGTACTGGCCCTTCTTCCTAGGAGGTGGAAGCAACATCATCAGGACTTGGGCATATTTGCACAATTTAGCAAGCCCCCTTACTTTGCTTGATCAACGTCTCTGATGACTAGATTTGCCCTTCAGAAGTACTATCAGTCAGGACTTGTATTCCTGAGGGCTTAGCATACGTTGGAAGGTTAACTTGGGTTTTCCATACAGCTGCCATCCTCTTGAGGAATTGTGGCTGTAGAATAACCCGGAGGTCATTCAGGAACAACAGGTCCTGAATTGATGGTAAGCATCAAAACAGTAGACCTCTTCTCTAATCTCCTACAGTACCTGCTTCTTGTTTTTCAGGTTTCCCCATGCACCTCTGAAAAAGTAAGAGCTTGGAATCAAATTTGTATTGGAATTATTTACCACTCTAAAAATGCTGCATTAAACGCCTTGGGAACTGCTGTGATATTGCAAGGATTTAAAAATAACTATATGAGATGGTACAGAGTATCAAACAGGACAATTGATTTTTTGCTGTTGAACACTTTTTCTATGGAGTGGAGGTTTATTATTTCCTTTGTTATTTTTGATATCTTGACATCACCATTAGGTCTCAAGTGTAGTTAGACTGATTATTAAGCTACTAAAAATACATGATAATTTATAATGCTGTAAAATGTTCTGAAGATGAGTTGTTAGTTTTGTATAAATCTAGGAAAGAGATGATCAGCTGAGATTTAGATCCTGTAGGTTTGGCACAAGCATGATTTCCATATGTAAACTGAAATGTGGAGTCTGTAACAATCAGTTTGACTATGAGCTACACATGAATAAATAGTGAATTTTGTTGTATCCCATCTTGCACCAGGTACAGCTGGGAGTCCAGAATAACTTCTGTGCTCCTTTCATTTGAATTAAACAAAATCAATATTCAGACATAAGTTATTTACATGTTGAGCAATTTAGGGAATGTAAAAAGGAATGCAACTCTCCCTGAGGAAGGTATTCTACAGAGAATCTGAAACACTTATTAAGATGCACACACACTGCCAATGAATCAGAGCATCTTTAATTTGTACACTGAACTGGAAGCTTATAGAAGCTTACTGGAAGCTCTCAGTACTGTATAACTGCAGTGTCCATGACTCTGAAAGGCAGCGTACATTTGCTTGCTCAAGGATCACATGAGAGCACTATGAATAGGTCAGACAGCTATTGCTTATCCTAAACAATCTGTCAGCAACTGTCTTTGTAGCAAGCCATGTTATTTTTCTGATTTGGGGGTGACTTGGCCTGTCTCTCGCGGAGAAAATCTGACAGTTTGTTTGGTGCAAGCAGCGCCCAGGGGTAAGGGTAGGCACCGGCAGGCTGGCATTTTCCATCCATAATGGCGATTGCTCAGTGTGTGGCCAGTCTGGATTTAAAATTGAGTGCAATGAGATGAAGCTGTTAATGTACTGGTGAGGAGTTAAGTATTTCAAAAACTGGTGAACTGTAGAACGAGTTCCGAAAATGAAGTTCTGCAAGGAAGGATATTGTTTGAATTATTGAGCCTTACCAGATCCATTTCTGGTCCTTGCCTATTAAAAATCATCTCTCTTTGCAAAGAAGGTGAACAAGAAATGGCAGTGTGAGGGCTAAAAAAGACATCACACTGCTATAAACAACTAGAGGTGCAGAGGACATCTTGTCAAGCGTATTTTTTCTTGAAGTGAAACTCTTCAACAACTGCATCTTTTAGTGACTTGGGCAGCACAGTGAGTAAATGTACTTGGCCTTTTCATCTTTTGGGCACAAATCTTGGCTTCTGTTGAAAACGAAAATTAGTTTTGGTGGTTTCATCGGAGCAGACATTTGTCTGCATCACAAAACCATTCAGTCTGGCACCAGGGCTCGTCGTTGCTCGAGTGGGGCCCAGCGCAGGAGAGCAGGGGTGTTGCAGGTCAGGGCTGCAGTCAGTACTGAGCGTTGAAAGCTTGCCCAGTCAGCCCACACTATCGGACTTCAGCCAGTGCTATTTACTTCACTTTCAAGAGCATCTATTTCTCTCTGTCACTTTCTCTGTCTCTCTTCCTCACACACACTTAAAGAACAAAAACATCTTTTATACAGCTATGCATTTTAAATAATTTTTCCAAGTCAGAAAGGGAGAGAGACTGGAAAGAATTACAGCACAAAGCTCAGCTTGCAGATGAACGATTGCCTTGTCATCCTAATAACCCCCTTCCTTCCCTTAAACCTCACTGGTGAGTGGGCTATAAGCAGGAATATTGGCTGGGGTCTGCTGGAGCAAGTCTCCAGGACAGGACTTTCTGCTGCCTTGCTTTCATCACGCAATTGCTTCTTCACAGTAGCTCTTTCTGCTCTGTGTGCAGCAGATAATGAATGAGTGGCAGCAGAGTTGAAAACATCTATCTGCAGAACATCTGCCCATCCTAGATAAATTCATTTATTTTATTTGATGTTATGTTCTGCTCTTTTTTTGCTGTTTGCCTGAAAGAGGTTCTTCTGAAGGCAAAAAGAAATCCTGCTACTCTTTCCTGGGAGGGTAGCGGAGCAAAGAAAATGTTCACCAACTCCGAGAACCCAGTAGAAGTGTAGAGAATAATCTGCCACCAGCAGTATGGAAATACCCAAGTTTATTTTAATTAATCGAGTTTGACTCTAGGCATCTGACTACTGCTGGGTGAAGCTCATGGGGGGCTAGTTCACCGTGCTGCAGGCGGTGTGTCCTGTTGCACTGTGCGCTTTCAGTACCAAGGTGGGTCAGTTGAGTGCGGTCTAAGTGTCTCTGCATTATGCTGCAGTCTGCCGTGGAGGCATATCCTAAGCTTAGATGCACAATAGTGCAGCTGCAGCTGGCTTGACAAGCCCATTGGGAAGCTCCTGAAGACCTATACGCTTTTGAAAATGGAACTTAGGTCGTGCATTACTATGTGCTTTTACAAATGGTATCCCAGAAAAAATGCACTTAAAATATGAGATACTTAGAATTTAGAGTCCTGTTCGTCTGCACATGCTCTTTTTTTCATCTAAACGTACTTCACTAAAGCTCCTTTGAGCGAGAAAAATCTGTGTCTGAAATAGCAGCTTTCAGAGGCATGGAGGAGTAGGTGATTGCTGATTAAGATGAGACAAAGCAGCATGCCCTGAACAAAGGGAAGGAGGTCTGTCATACATTTCCAAATGTGAAGCTCTATTTCCTGTTTTGCTACGTGGGACATGGTTCTCGTAATGCACGTGTTCCACTCCACTTGCCCAGCTATTGTCTTCTTCATGTGAAATACGACCCCTTTGTTACAATACATTGGGTATATGTGATTCCAAATAGAGACTGGTTTCTGTTAGCACAGTCTTTTTCCTCTTCAAAAGCAAGAAAGGAGTAGGTAGCTAATATTAAAAGTACAGGGAAAACTGCTTTTTTCAAGGAGCACATAGTTTAAGAAGTTGGGGTAACAATGGGTTTGCTGGTGAGTGGCTTCCAGAAAACAGAACAGTCTAAGGCTGCTGCTGAAATTTGGATTCAAAGGACGCCTGACTGTCATTCTTCAATGCTTTTAGGTATGAGAGGGTGAAATTTTCTGTCCCTTTGAAAATGATGGCTTCACAGGATTAACCTGAGCCAAAGGCAGTGAAAGCAGAAGCTATTCAGGCTTCCCCCACATATTTGTCAATAAACCTCAATCATGACCTGTAGTAGTCTTCGTATCCCCATCCTGTGGTGTTTGCGTAAACACTGTCAATCATACATAAATTCTGTGCTGGTTTTCTGTCATGTGGATAAATACCTTTCGGAGTTGAGACCACCAAACTCTTTCCATCTGAGTCTTTGCCCAGACTTATGGAACCTTAAAACTGTAGCATATTCCTGTGCCACTACTTGCCACACGGCGGTCTTCTGAAACATTTCTCCTACTCATAAGCCAATGGCTCCAGTTCTATTTCTCTGTCATGCATAAGCTAGGAAGTAACTCTTCCTAAAAAAATTAAAGTAAATCCATGTTATTGAAAAACTTGTGAGGGCAGGGACTGTCTTTTTGTTCAGCGATGTGAATGACCAGAAAAGTAGATAGATCTATGTTCATGTTGGATTAGTCGTACTGCTATAAAAATAACAATAAGTCTTCAGGTGCTTTAGCAGCAAGTATTTCATTCTTTGGTCTTCCCTTTGATTGTGCTCTGTCTAATTTTCCAGTTCTATTTACTTTTCTGTTTGACAATAGCCAAGAGAAATGATGGCCTAGAGTTTTTCAGGTCTTACAGTCAGACCTGTTTTTTGGTATTTCTTCCAGGTGGCTTCAGTGGTGCTTTGATCTCCATCGCTGTTGTCTCAGTTTGCTCAGAAAAAAATGTTTATTCCACCTGAAAATGGCTAACTTTATAGCAGTTCTCAGAGCATCTCAAAAGCAAGTCCAGTAACATTTAAGAACTTTCTAGAAGCAGTTACCAAATAGGTATCAGTCAGTAGATGCAATGGTTTTCAAAGGAATTGGCATAACCATTTCTCTTCTTATAAAAGCATATAAGCATTCAGACTTCATAGTGTAAAATTAAGATGAACTGAGTTGCATTTGTCAGATTACATGTTGTAAGAAACTATGGAGACTTCAAGATGCATCTCCTAGTTTTCTGCATTCAAAAAACCCAAAGTATTTTTGCAGGAAGGCAGATATTCTGCTAGGTTATCCACTAGGCACTTGACACATAAAATAAAACAGAGGCATAGATTTGTAGCTGGTTAGCTTTTTTTTATTTTAGTACAATTAACTTGAAAAAGTGTCTGCATTAAAACACAGGTATTCCGTAACTGTTCAACAATGTTCCAGTTCAGATCGACACACCAGGCGCTGTATGACTCCTAGCCAAACATCTTGTTAAGTACTTGCAGGATTTCCCATAGCGGATCTTACTTTAATCAAATAATTCAAATGTTTCTATTGTAAATACAATAGAAGGGCAGGGCTTGTGTTTACAAAGTATTCAGTATGGAAATCCTGTATTAATTGAAGTACATTTACTTCACTTAGGACAGTGTCCACATAGTAACTCTTTAAATAAAGTGCCTTCTGCTGTTGCCTATTCCAGAGAGGCAATCACATGCAAAACTACCCCATCACGTACAGAAAATCATGAGATGTGCAGCGTAGACAACAGAGATATTTCTAGCTAAAGAAGATGCCTCTATTTATTATTTTCTCACAGTGGATGTAAAATAATATGATTTTTAAAAAGTAGTCTTATCCCTAAGGAAACTATCAAGTAAAGAGGCTATGTCTTTCTCAATCAATTTCCAGAATGATTAGCACAGGCAATGCCAGATGTCTTTTTGTAATATCGCAAATTCATATAAGCTGCGCTTTAAATCATTATCTTTCAAAGGCAGCAGCTGTATTTTCTGTGAGTAAACACAATGTGCTTCCACCCAGCTCAGTGCAGGATCTGGAGTTTTTATTACTAACAGTAAAGCACTTTGAGTTTCACATACAGGGTGCATAAAAGGGAAAGATAATATTATTACTCAGTGATAATATTATTACTCAATAATAGGTGACTAGAACTGCACTCCTCCGGGTTCCTTATTTTGCTGTGCCAGAAAATGCCGGAATCAAAATAAGCCATATACAGAAGAATTAAACAGAGAATCAGCCTTTCCTGCTACAGTGAGTTGGAAATTGCATGTTACTTCTCTGTTCTATACAGAGAAATCTTTTTCCCTTTTTTTCTTGAATTATAATTCTACTATAGTTGAAATGGTAATTTTGCCAGTATATTAAATACCTGGCAAAAAAAGGTGTTTTAGAACATTTTTAGGTAAATGTAGGTCAACACAAAGGAATCATACAGTTGGAAATATTTTCCAGTGTTTATGTTCAGATGTTCAGACCTGTCTGGCTCCTCTCTATTTGCATGTGTTGGGGTTATAGGCAGTCCGGCTACATTCCACATTGATTTATACAAATATATTGAAGATTATTAACCTCCAGCCAAATATTAGCAAATTTCACTTTTCAGGAAGGTTTGTGACTTTTTTCAAAATGTATTTACTGTGTACAGGACATGTGTCTTCTGTGTACACCCCATTAAGGGAATCATAAAGAGAACAGTGTTTGTCTTTATGAGAAATGTGTGGAGACATTTGCTGTTACAGTCACTATGTTGTTACCATAATAATTTATTTAATATTTGTTCATATGATGATTACAGACTAAGTACAGATTACGGTCTTCTAGCAGAGGTAGGGTCACAGTCTGTCCATAGTCTGTAACTCTGGTTCACAAATTTTTACTCACCAAAAAAGCTTCTTTAAAGCTAAAAGGAATGTGCATGCATCCGTTTGCAAAACATGGTGGCTAATAAACAATTTTTAAGTGTCTGACCAAAAATTATTTAGGAAATTGTTGAACTGGGACCACAGCCTTAACATGTTACATCTATATCACCTCAAGTGAAACATAATGCTCTGTTAAACCTGGACTACAGTCTTCACAGATAGTTATACCAATTCTTATCTTCCCTTCTCTTGTGAAATATTTAGTTATTTAAGGTAAGAAGTAAAAACTCAGTACAAAGTGTTTTCCTAGTCTGTTTGTCAGATGTCCTCTTTGAAAACCCCCAAGGCTTTATCCATGATCTGTTGTCTACAGATTCTGCCTATAAAGCCTTTAGTCCTAGGAGAAAGAACAAAACTATTACATGGTAATATTAGAAATCCTGCACTTTGCACAAAGTAAGGAAACAGTTATTCTAAGAGGATGAAAGATACATGTAGTAAAACAACGTAACTGCTATGATATTGACCAAAATAAGCAGTAGTATCAAGACTAGTTTGGTTTGTTGTCAATGATAGGTTCTTCAGTTTAACTCCATAGACTTTTTTCTCAGTAACTGTATTCATACATTTTTTAAATCTACCATCACCTGATAAAAGCAGCATTTTATTTTCTGCCTTGCTTCAGAGAGAAAGCAATCTGATCTGTACAATTTAAAACTAAACGAATAAACACACTAGTAAAGTATATGAGCGGGGAAAATGCATCCTTCCATCTGTAAGATGGTTTCTTATTGTGATTTTGTAGAAGTGGGACTTGAGGAAGAATAATGAAAGTCACTGGAATATAGGTATGAAGCATAGAAAGATGGGCAGATATTTGTGAAAAAGAGAAAACAATAATTAAAGCTGGTATGGTAGATGGAGTGGAGATGATGAGAGAAATTCTAATTAAAAAGAGAAAACTATAGAAAATAGAGTAATTGGGTGGGAATGTGACATTATGAAGAGCTTTGCAAATTAGTTGAATTTGGTGTTGTGCAACAAAGTGAAATGATAAAGAAATTTCAGTAAAAGAATGACAGAAAGTGGTGAGAGAAGAAAGCTTTCTTGGTAGTGGCATCTGCATCTTGTGCACAAAGCTTTTTTCCAGACTGTATCCTGACTCTGAAGGTATTCTTTGCATCCAGGAACTTGCAAGAGTAATCAGCAAAAAAATTCTGTTTCTGACAAAGGAGATTTAATTATAAAGCCATGTAATAGTGAACATGGGAGTTACATGGCAAGAAACTGAAGGTGCATACAAAATCCCTGTATATTTTTTATCAAAATGTGTCTCAAAAAATTGTTTTTTAAAATTACTCTAAGTGCTGCAACATAGGATGTGGATAAATATCAGGTCATTTTCTGTATTAACTCCAGTTGCTCTGTCCAAAAAATATTTTCTTTTCATGTAATTATTTTTCTTTGAACAGCTGATGAATTCTTATATCCTATTTTAGAATCTACACATGAAAGAAAGATATTATTGATGTATCAGTAGTTAGCTGATGAGTCAAGAGGTGATGAATCAAGAGCTCAAAGTTTGCTCTACCTTTGGAAAGCTCTTTTTCCATTCTATATGCTGTAAGAAATTTAAATAGACAAGTATGAGCTGCAAGGTGTGTCTGTCTGTACTGGTTCCTCTATACTTACCTCCTTTTTTCTTTTCCTCCTCTCAGATTGTTTGATGTGTGCACCGTGTCACGAACAGACAGAGAGACCAAGTTAACATTAGTGTTTGAACACGTGGATCAAGACTTGACTACTTACTTGGATAAAGTTCCAGAGCCTGGAGTGCCTACAGAAACTATAAAGGTATTTAAGAAGAAAGATTTTGGGTAGTATTTCAGAAAATAATAAATAGGCAGGGCAGAGAGATAAATCACAAGGACAAACTCTGTTTTAATTCCATAGGATTTTGTTATATCAAAATTGAGTAATGCCCAGCTTGGGACATGAATTACAGCAGAAAGGCTTGTATTCACTAACAGATGTAATCTCTTTGTGGAAATGTTGCACTTGGATTTTTTTCTCTTTTATATTTATAAATCTCCTGAATCTCTACAGTTTTACCAAATTTAGCAATCCAAATCATTAAAAATTACCTCTGCTTGCAGCTGTAGGCAAATGATTCCATTATTGTCTAGTCCAAGACTACTTGAACCTTCCCTAGAAGTATCTGGTAGAGTGCTGGATATTGTTAGAATAGACGAAAAAAATCCTGTGCCCCTGTCCCCTTCCCTTTGCCCTTTGTTTCCCCAACATACTCCTTTTGTTTGTCCCTCTTGCCAGAAAGGTTTCTATGTGTTCCAAGAGTAGGAAATGTTCATGGTGGACCTGTGGTGGGGATGCTTGAGCTCCACAGCTGGTGGGCTCAAGGAGGGGTAGCCATGACCAGTTGTTGTTGAAGCTGGGAAGGCTCTCAGTAACTGGAAGGATGATCATGAAGTTGTCCCATCATGTTATCTCATATTCTGCATCTGTAAGGGAAGATCTCTTCCCAGGATAGGACATGCTTGCATTATTGGTACTAAAATATGTATGCCAACTCCTGTTCTCTTCTGGGAATTTCACAGCAAAGTGCTACATTGAGGATCACAGCTTGAAATGTTTGACAAAATATTTACACCTGGGAAGAGAAGCAGAGGGACTGATGTTCCTACATTTTGACTGTGTCTGTTTAGCATTTCTTTTGATTTTTTCTTTTTTCATGAAGAGAAATAATTTATGCTTTCAGAGACGGATTATCTTGCATTTGTATAAGTACTTTCTGGAAGTATGTTGTGTCATCTGAGTCTGGCAAAGGTCCTGAGGGAGGAAAAGAAAACATGAAACCTATCTGAAATTTAGTTGTTTTCATATTTTTTTTTTTTGTTAACAGCTTCAAACTTAGGAGTTGTTTGATCTTTAAGTATAAAATTAGACATAAAACTGATAAAGATCTTTTCACTTGTATCAAAGTCACAAATGTATAACATCAGTCTGTTCCAGCAACCATGTTTTTAAGCAACCTTAGTGGATAAAATGATAAATTTTTTTTAAAAATGGGTACAGCTTTGATTCAGTCCCAGCAGAACACTGGAAGGTACCTCTTGCGTTTGAAGGACTTTTTTATGATAATGTTTTTAGGGTTCTACTTCCATCTAAGGCTTTGAAGCTACTTAAGGGAACTGTATTTCAATGTAACTGACATTGTGAAAATAACTTACAAGGTGACTGACATATTATCTAACTAAATATATTTAAAAGGGATGGGAACTGAATGACCAAGCCTCTGAAATCTCAGTTTGAAATATCTTTTGGGCTATGTTTCATTTAAAGCAAAAAGACGAGGTAAGCATTGGACTAAAACATTTGTGATTTTCTAAAAACCTGTTCTAAATGTGCACTAGTAGTCTCTAATACATATGTGTGAACACATTTCATGGAGGTTTTATACTGGTGAAGGAAATTGTTGGGTTCACTTTTGAAAAGCACTATTCTGAATACATGGTTTACTAGTTCAACCCAGCTGATATGTCTCATAGTTTAGCACAATGAAAGAGAAAAATTTAGCCACACAGAAACAAGGAGGAGCAATTCTGGTCTTTTATTTACAGGCAAGTTCCACTGCAGCCAGTGAAATTAGTGAGTGTAAAATTCAGCTTGTGGTATGTACAGCTCTTTTTAAATGAGTGAGGAAAAGTGTGAAATTGCTATTTACTTGGTCACTGCTGTTGATTTCAACATTTGCACAGCATCTGATGTGTTACTACTTGAATTCTGTTTGGCATGGGAAAAAAAGAGAGATTTGGTTAATCATAGAATCATAGAATGGTTTGGGTTGGAAAGGACCTTAAAGATCATCTAGTTCCAACCCCCCTGCCATGGGCAGGGACACTTCCCACTAGCCCAGGTTGCTCAAAGCCTCATCCAGCCTGGCCTTGAACACCTCCAGGGATGGGGCATCCACAACTTCCCTGGGCAACCTGTTCCAGTGTCTCACCACCCTCACAGTGAAAAATTTCTTCCTAATCTAATCTAATCTAAATCTACCCTCTTCCATCTTATAACCGTTTCTCCTTGTCCTCTCACTACACTCCCTGATAAAGAGTGCCTCCCCATCTCTCCTGTAGGCTCCCTTCAGGTACTGGCCAGCTGCTATTAGGTCTCCTCGGAGCCTTCTCTTCTCCAGGCTGAACAACCCCAATTCTTTCAGCCTGTCCTCATAGAGGAGGTGCTCCAGCCCTCTGACCAATTTCGTGGCTCTCCTCTGGACTCTCTCCAACAGGTCCAGGTCTTTTTTATGTTGGGGGCATTTGTGTTAAGTTGCACCCTGTTGCTTCACTATTTATGTGAAAACACCCACTTTATGGAGGTACTTTTGCTGATAGTCAGGACAGATCATACGGGGAAGGGTCTCAAGGCTTATTCCTAATGCATTTTGATACCTTTCTGATGATTCAGTCTTTATGGATATTCCTGGTAGAAACTGAAGGAAAGCATAGTTCTCCTGGCTGCAGGGAAGCATTGCCATTTTGCTGCAACTGATCATTTAACCCAGAGCACATACATTGTTAAATGACTAATCTGACTTTTTATATTTTGGCTTTTGAGGTTAATATGGATTTTTACTTCATTTATTTTCAAGAATTGCAGACATTTTGTGTAGAGTATTTCCCCTCACTGCTAGCGCAGTACAAAACAACTGCCGGTATTGTAAGACCATCTGTTAAAATTCTGCATGTTTCAGCAACACAGAGGTGCCAAATGAGCCAGAGTAAGCTCTGGATAGCTTGAAGTTGAAGGGCCTAATATACTTCTTTGGCACCATGGTGTAAACTCAACAGTTGTTAGTGGAACTTGAATGACATAAAATTACTATGAGAGAAGTATCAGCCCCAAAAGGTCTTTTCCATGTGGATTAACTACCATCATTACATACCATTTGGGAAGGAAGACTCGATTTTCACTGGTTTGGGGTATGCTGGGGTTTTTAGTAACCAACTGTCAAGGAATATAAGTGACACCAGTACCATTTTAAGAATTGCCTTTATGTTTAGCAAATAGTAGTCAACTGTAGCAGTTCAGAGAAACTAACCATGTCTATCATTTCAACACAACTAAAGCTTTTGTCTTAATGCTGCTCAGCAATGCCTTTCTAATGTCTAAAGCCCTGCGGCAGGAGTCACCCCAGAGAGTATTGTAGGAACATATTCACAGGTGCCCATAAAATGATAGAAGAGAGGCAATTTCCCTTTGAGGAATTGCCTGGTAGTGGCAGGATGCAGGGCAGACATGCTCACTTCCCTCCCTGTTACCGAAGCATGAATGTTGTAGTCCATTTCTGTGGCTGTAACTCTGGCTACTGAGTTCTAGGTTATTCTGGACAGAGGTATTTTAAATCTTTTTTTGCTGAAGCACTTCCATTATTTTTTAATTGAGTATACTTTGGGCTAGAGGTATAGAGAACATGACTCCAAATACTCGCGGACATGGCATTGAAAATTTGAAAGAGAACAATGTTTAAGCTTTTAGCCTAATTAATATGTCTTTGTAACTACTGGATTATAGTCCTGCTCACCCCTGCTGGCTTCCTCTGTCGGACCTGATTAATATATGTTTCATATGGGATGAATCAGAATCAGCAATGACAACATCTTCCTTCTTTCCTCTCTACCCATCGTCTCCTCCCTTCTTTTCTTCCTGGGATACTCTTTAACTTTAGGTCAGTTTATGTGGAAATGGAAGGTATGAGTTCAGTTTCCTTAGGACACAGCTGTTAGTCATGCACAGGTCTTTGGTAATGTTAATGGTGTTAGCAGTTGCGCTGCTGAGAGACTTGGCTTGTTAGGAACTTTTGTTAGTTGACATAAGGGTAGTGGAAATGGGAATGACACATCTCTGCCACAGAAAGATTTATTAAAAAAAAAATAGTTAACAGGCCACTAAAGCATTTTGATGTGTTAGTCTTTGGGACTGAAGCATGTTTAACCTGGGTGGTCACATTTTGAGGTGATGTTTGTGAGGCTGGCATGGGGTTTTTGATCTTAAAAGATTTGGATATGGATATGGTTGTTGCAACACTAATTACATTTTTAATGTGGAAATCACATGCATGCAAACAAGTTGATATTTGTTGATTTAAGCTATTGCAATGTATATAACAATATTTATCTTTAAATTAATATATGCATGTGATGACTTGGTACATAGAGCTGTAAATCAAGTGGTTTAGGAATGGCTCTTTGGAGTTCCCTCCAGTCATCTTGTTCTGCCAGGCCAAGGAGTCTGGAAGAATGAGACGGGATAACAAACTGTTAACAAGGTTCTTTAATTTTAGTAATGAACAGAGTTAATTTTGCAAGGTAATGTCAATATAAGTAAACTTGTCTCTTCTTGCAATAGTTTTCTTACAACAGATCAGAACTTAGCCTACCCAAGCCATACGTGCCAACTGGACCATGCTTGTTTCAATCTGACAGTCAACAGGGGGAACAGAACAAAGGTCTCCAGTATAGCAGATGCATACATTATCTATCACAGGATGTTAGATGAGCTGGAAATGTCTTTCTGCCCAGGTCTGTGATCTGTGAATCTTCATGGTACTCCCCTCAGCCTGGAACAGGGCAGCCAAATCATGGAGAGAACAGGGTTTAAGGTATATCCTTTTCTCAGGTGTTTCCTCATTCCTCACTTGGGTGAATGGCTTCTGTGGATATTATTCTGTATCTCCTTTGCATAGGAAAGCTAAATCTCCACCTGACTCAGGGATCCAGATTTTGCTGTTTAGATGCCTAAAATTTAGAAAGTACCAGTGAACCTAATTTCCTTTT